AGAAGCAGCCGAAGCCGCTGCCATCGCTGCCGCATCTGGACGTTACGCACCTTACGGTAACCAAGTAGTAATCAACAACGACTCAGGTTCTGGATCATCATCAGCTGCCTCAGCTGCTTCGGCATCCGCCGCCTCTGCTGGACAAGGATCTGGTGCTGGATTAAACGGTGCCGGTCTTTACGGCACTAACGGACTTTACGGATTGAATGGTCTCAACGGACTTCTTGGAGGACAAGGTGCCGGATCAGCAGCTGCCGCAGCCGCTGCCGCCGCTGCAGGCTCAGCTGGAAGCGGTAATTACGCAAACGGATTGAACGGACTCTACGGTGGGTTAGGAGGCGTAGGCCAAGACACCATTGTGATCAACAACAGCGGTGCTGCTGGATCTTCGTCGAGCGCTGCTGCTTCAAGCTCTGCTGCCAGCTCTGGTAACAGTCTTGCCGAACAGGAAGCACTTCTAGAAGCCACAGAAGCAGCCGAAGCCGCTGCCATCGCTGCCGCATCTGGACGTTACGCACCTTACGGTAACCAAGTAGTAATCAACAACGACTCAGGTTCTGGATCATCATCAGCTGCCTCAGCTGCTTCGGCATCCGCCGCCTCTGCTGGACAAGGATCTGGTGCTGGATTAAACGGTGCCGGTCTATACGGCTCTAACGGACTTTACGGTTTGAATGGTCTCAACGGACTCCGTGGAGGACAAGGTGCAGGATCAGCAGCTGCCGCCGCCGCTGCCGCCGCTGCAGGCTCAGCTGGGAGCGGTAATTACGCAAACGGATTAAATGGACTCAATGGTATTAACGGTCTTCGTGGAGGACAAGGTGCCGGATCAGCAGCTGCCGCAGCTGCTGCCGCCGCTGCAGGTTCAGCAGGAAGCGGTAATTACGCAAACGGATTAAACGGACTCTACGGTGGGTTAGGAGGCATAGGCCAAGACACCATTGTGATCAACAACAGCGGTGCTGCTGGATCTTCGTCGAGCGCTGCTGCTTCAAGCTCTGCTGCCAGCTCTGGTAACAGTCTTGCCGAACAGGAAGCACTTCTAGAAGCCACAGAAGCAGCCGAAGCCGCTGCCATCGCTGCCGCATCTGGACGTTACGCACCTTACGGTAACCAAGTAGTAATCAACAACGACTCAGGTTCTGGATCATCATCAGCTGCCTCAGCTGCTTCGGCATCCGCCGCCTCTGCTGGACAAGGATCTGGTGCTGGATTAAACGGTGCCGGTCTATACGGCTCTAACGGACTTTACGGTTTGAATGGTCTCAACGGACTCCGTGGAGGACAAGGTGCCGGATCAGCAGCTGCCGCAGCCGCTGCCGCCGCTGCAGGCTCAGCTGGAAGCGGTAATTACGCAAACGGATTAAATGGACTCAATGGTCTTAACGGTCTTCGTGGAGGACAAGGTGCCGGATCAGCAGCTGCCGCAGCCGCTGCCGCCGCTGCAGGCTCAGCAGGAAGCGGTAATTACGCAAACGGATTAAACGGACTCTACGGTGGGTTAGGAGGCATAGGCCAAGACACCATTGTGATCAACAACAGCGGTGCTGCTGGATCTTCGTCGAGCGCTGCTGCTTCAAGCTCTGCTGCCAGCTCTGGTAACAGTCTTGCCGAACAGGAAGCACTTCTAGAAGCCACAGAAGCAGCCGAAGCCGCTGCCATCGCTGCCGCATCTGGACGTTACGCACCTTACGGTAACCAAGTAGTAATCAACAACGACTCAGGTTCTGGATCATCATCAGCTGCCTCAGCTGCTTCGGCATCCGCCGCCTCTGCTGGACAAGGATCTGGTGCTGGATTAAACGGTGCCGGTCTATACGGCTCTAACGGACTTTACGGTTTGAATGGTCTCAACGGACTCCGTGGAGGACAAGGTGCCGGATCAGCAGCTGCCGCAGCCGCTGCCGCCGCTGCAGGCTCAGCTGGAAGCGGTAATTACGCAAACGGATTGAACGGACTCTACGGTGGGTTAGGAGGCATAGGCCAAGACACCATTGTGATCAACAACAGCGGTGCTGCTGGATCTTCGTCGAGCGCTGCTGCTTCAAGCTCTGCTGCCAGCTCTGGTAACAGTCTTGCCGAACAGGAAGCACTTCTAGAAGCCACAGAAGCAGCCGAAGCCGCTGCCATCGCTGCCGCATCTGGACGTTACGCACCTTACGGTAACCAAGTAGTAATCAACAACGACTCAGGTTCTGGATCATCATCAGCTGCCTCAGCTGCTTCGGCATCCGCCGCCTCTGCTGGACAAGGATCTGGTGCTGGATTAAACGGTGCCGGTCTATACGGCTCTAACGGACGTTACGGTTTGAATGGTCTCAACGGACTTCTTGGAGGACAAGGTGCCGGATCAGCAGCTGCCGCAGCCGCTGCCGCCGCTGCAGGCTCAGCTGGAAGCGGTAATTATGCAAACGGATTGAACGGACTCTACGGTGGGTTAGGAGGCGTAGGCCAAGACACCATTGTTATCAACAACAGCGGTGCTGCTGGATCTTCGTCAAGCGCTTCTGCTTCAAGCTCTGCTGCCAGCTCTGGTAACAGTCTTGCCGAACAGGAAGCACTTCTAGAAGCCACAGAAGCAGCCGAAGCCGCTGCCATCGCTGCCGCATCTGGACGTTACGCACCTTACGGTAACCAAGTAGTAATCAACAACGACTCAGGTTCTGGATCATCATCAGCTGCCTCAGCTGCTTCGGCATCCGCCGCCTCTGCTGGACAAGGATCTGGTGCTGGATTAAACGGTGCCGGTCTATACGGCTCTAACGGACTTTACGGTTTGAATGGTCTCAACGGACTCCGTGGAGGACAAGGTGCCGGATCAGCAGCTGCCGCAGCCGCTGCCGCCGCTGCAGGCTCAGCTGGGAGCGGTAATTACGCAAACGGATTAAATGGACTCAATGGTCTTAACGGTCTTCGTGGAGGACAAGGTGCCGGATCAGCAGCTGCCGCAGCTGCTGCTGCCGCTGCAGGTTCAGCAGGAAGCGGTAATTACGCAAACGGATTAAACGGACTCTACGGTGGGTTAGGAGGCATAGGCCAAGACACCATTGTGATCAACAACAGCGGTGCTGCTGGATCTTCGTCGAGCGCTGCTGCTTCAAGCTCTGCTGCCAGCTCTGGTAACAGTCTTGCCGAACAGGAAGCACTTCTAGAAGCCACAGAAGCAGCCGAAGCCGCTGCCATCGCTGCCGCATCTGGACGTTACGCACCTTACGGTAACCAAGTAGTAATCAACAACGACTCAGGTTCTGGATCATCATCAGCTGCCTCAGCTGCTTCGGCATCCGCCGCCTCTGCTGGACAAGGATCTGGTGCTGGATTAAACGGTGCCGGTCTATACGGCTCTAACGGACTTTACGGTTTGAATGGTCTCAACGGACTCCGTGGAGGACAAGGTGCCGGATCAGCAGCTGCCGCAGCCGCTGCCGCCGCTGCAGGCTCAGCTGGAAGCGGTAATTACGCAAACGGATTAAATGGACTCAATGGTCTTAACGGTCTTCGTGGAGGACAAGGTGCCGGATCAGCAGCTGCCGCAACCGCTGCCGCCGCTGCAGGCTCAGCAGGAAGCGGTAATTACGCAAACGGATTAAACGGACTCTACGGTGGGTTAGGAGGCATAGGCCAAGACACCATTGTGATCAACAACAGCGGTGCTGCTGGATCTTCGTCGAGCGCTGCTGCTTCAAGCTCTGCTGCCAGCTCTGGTAACAGTCTTGCCGAACAGGAAGCACTTCTAGAAGCCACAGAAGCAGCCGAAGCCGCTGCCATCGCTGCCGCATCTGGACGTTACGCACCTTACGGTAACCAAGTAGTAATCAACAACGACTCAGGTTCTGGATCATCATCAGCTGCCTCAGCTGCTTCGGCATCCGCCACCTCTGCTGGACAAGGATCTGGTGCTGGATTAAACGGTGCCGGTCTTTACGGCACTAACGGACTTTACGGATTGAATGGTCTCAACGGACTTCTTGGAGGACAAGGTGCCGGATCAGCAGCTGCCGCAGCCGCTGCCGCCGCTGCAGGCTCAGCTGGAAGCGGTAATTACGCAAACGGATTAAATGGACTCAATGGTCTTAACGGTCTTCGTGGAGGACAAGGTGCTGTATCAGCAGCTGCCGCAGCCGCTGCCGCCGCTGCAGGCTCAGCTGGAAGCGGTAATTACGCAAACGGATTAAACGGACTCTACGGTGGGTTAGGAGGCATAGGCCAAGACACCATTGTGATCAACAACAGCGGTGCTGCTGGATCTTCGTCGAGCGCTGCTGCTTCAAGCTCTGCTGCCAGCTCTGGTAACAGTCTTGCCGAACAGGAAGCACTTCTAGAAGCCACAGAAGCAGCCGAAGCCGCTGCCATCGCTGCCTCATCTGGACGTTACGCACCTTACGGTAACCAAGTAGTAATCAACAACGACTCAGGTTCTGGATCATCATCAGCTGCCTCAGCTGCTTCGGCATCCGCCGCCTCTGCTGTACAAGGATCTGGTGCTGGATTAAACGGTGCCGGTCTATACGGCTCTAACGGACTTTACGGTTTGAATGGTCTCAACGGACTCCGTGGAGGACAAGGTTCAGGATCAGCAGCTTCCGCCGCCGCTGCCGCCGCTGCAGGATCAGCTGGAAGCGGTAATAACGCAAACGGATTAAATGGACTCAATGGTCTTAACGGTCTTCGTGGAGGACAAGGTGCCGGATCAGCAGCTGCCGCAGCCGCTGCCGCCGCTGCAGGCTCAGCTGGAAGCGGTAATTACGCAAACGGATTGAACGGACTCTACGGTGGGTTAGGAGGCGTAGGCCAAGACACCATTGTTATCAACAACAGCGGTGCTGCTGGATCTTCGTCAAGCGCTTCTGCTTCAAGCTCTGCTGCCAGCTCTGGTAACAGTCTTGCCGAACAGGAAGCACTTCTAGAAGCCACAGAAGCAGCCGAAGCCGCTGCCATCGCTGCCGCATCTGGACGATACGCACCTTACGGTAAACAAGTCGTAATCAACAACGACTCAGGTTCTGGATCATCATCAGCCGCCTCAGCTGCTTCGGCATCCGCTGCCTCTGCTGGACAAGGATCTGGTGCTGGATTAAACGGTGCCGGTCTTTACGGCTCTAATGGACTTTACGGATTGAATGGTCTCAACGGACTCAACGGTCTTAACGGACTACTTGGAGGACAAGGTTCCGGATCTGCAGCTTCCGCCGCAGCTGCCGCCGCCGCTGCCGCAGGCTCTGCCGGTCGTAGAAACTTAGGACTACTCGGATCATCGGGAGTGTATGGAAACAACGGTCAAGGCGCCGTCATCATCAACAACAATGGAGCAAGCGGATCTGCATCGAGTGCTTCTGCCTCAAGCTCAGCCGCCTCTTCCGCCGGCTCAGACTCTGGACTCGCTGCTCAAGTAGCCGCACTAGAAGCTGCCGAAGCCGCTGCCATCGCCGCCGCATCTGGACGTTACGCACCTTACGGTAACCAAGAGCCACAAGTTATAGTCATAAACGAAAATATACCCAGTGGCTCTGCCTCAGCATCTTCATCTGCATCGTCATCGTCAGCCTCAGAAGATGGCCAGGGATTTCTTGACTTAACAGGCCCCAAGAATTACGGAAATAGGTTTGATGGATTAAATGGACTTGATTCTGGTTATGGCCCATATGTTAGCCAAGGACCTCAAGTTGTTGTAATCAATGAAGCTGGTTCAGGAGGTGCTGCATCTGCATCATCTGCAGCATCTTCCACTGCCATTTCTTCCTACGGACGTGGAAGAGGACGGGTGCGCCAATCATGCAAACTAAACCGTCGTCAATTTATCATAAGATATGGCAGAAAAGGTCTCGCCTGTACTGATTGTTAGGTAAACTATGTGTAAACCTTGAAGCTCAATTTAATTGTTTTTTTTTTACTTGGGTACATCTTTATAACAATGAAATAAATATATTTTTGCAGCATGAAAATTTATTTTATTTTAAAGATTTATTACATTGTTGGTCTTATCTCCAAAAGTATCTCCATCTAGTCTGTAATTGTGGCTATATTGTGATAAGTTGTACCAATGGGTGTTCCTCTTTAAAAAAATCTTTATCTATTTTTCCCAAGACCAGCTGTGTTACCTGCTCGCAGGGCAACAATGCTGACGCACTTATATTAGTCTCAGCAGGATACAGTATTAAATTCATGTACAAATATATTTTATGTACCACCTATGTGGTGCAACTCAAAAACAACAAAACAATTCTTTAAAAATACACATAATGAGGACCTTATAGTTCCCTTTTTTTAGTGGGCGTTCCATGCAGTCCCAGTCACAAGCACCAGCTAGTTCTTAACTTTAGTCCGAGTAATAGGAAGTCTATCTACATGGTACATATATCAACATATATACCTATACAGTTATTTTTAACCTTATCTGTTAATTTGTTTTTAAAATTTATATATATTACTTAATTGTTTTCCTTTATTTTGAATCAATTATATGCAACAAGTTACTTATCATAAACTTTGTAACAAAATTATTTTGTTGTGTGATTAGTATATCCATTTATTATTTACAATTAAGTGAGTTACTCTCACATAATATTTAATGATTACATACTCAGAAGTCACCAGCCAGCCAGCTTCTTAGGCACCTTTTCAACTAAGCTAACTATATAAATAAGGTATCTTTACTTTGGTGTTTTACTTCACTTAACAATATTTTGTTCCTACCAAATCTTTATTTCAAGATCAAAAGTTTAAAATCAAGTGTACTGCTTCTATATTATGTACTTAATGATTATTTAGGTTTAATAATAAGTATTTTAATGAAGGTTTCCTGCCTAGTCTATAAGATCTATAATCATAGATATACATTATACAAGTAGCGGCACGAAACTCTAGCGCTGACCGTTATTGCGCAGAAGTATAAAATAAGGTACCTGAGGGGGCCTAGCGGGCGCGCGTAGCGTCGATTGGCTCTCCAGCAGCGCTGTCAGATTTCTTCTTTGTCAAGTCGGGATTTTGGAACTTTTAAAGTAAAAAAAGCGGGATTCATTTGTCGAAAGCGGGACATAGTAAAAAAATTAAATAACCAGAAGTTTTCAAATATTTATGTTTTTAATTGAGTTCAAATCACGTTTGCGTGACAATAGATAGCGAAAATAGTCACAGAAAATGTATTTAAATCAGATTTAACCTATCGTTAAATAGCCGTTATTCTTCTTCTGATTAAAAAACAAAAAAATCTAAATAAAAAAAGATTTAAAAAATATAGCGTTTCCTACAATACTCTGAAGAGCGAGTGTTTCAAATTGCAACCTACAATAAGACAGTAATTATTTATAAAAATTACTTATTCATTATATTTTTATGAAGATGAGATGATATGAGAACTTCTTTAAAAGTTTCATTTTTCTCTTTAAAAAAGACGAAGAACTCTTCACAGGATAGCTGCAGATTAAACTTGATGAGTAACTCTGATTTTATTAAATTTACGTAGCATTTCAAAAAGAAGGCGCGCTGGAAAGCAGTTTGATGTTGGGATACTTAATATAAAGTTTGAAGATAATCCTGGTATTTTTTTTTTTGGATACTGTTGAAAGAGTTGGTGCCATTACTGTGCGGTGGTGTCTGTACACACTTCTCAGTGCCATCGAGTTATTCCCGAAAAGCGGGACTAAGCCGGTCCCGCGCGGGACATGTCATTTTGATTTAAAAATCGGGACGTCCCGCCAAAATCGGGACGTCTGGCAACGCTGCTCTCCAGTCGCATTCCGTCCCCCGCGCGACAGTACACATGCGCAGCAATCCCCTCCACGTATCGGCCAGCGCTAGACTTACGTGCCGCTGCCTATATCTAAGTTAATGAACTATGTAGGTTACTATCTAATGAACTTTGTTCTTCTAGATGACGTAGATGAAGCTGTAAAGTTATAAACAAAGTGTTGCAAATGCAATGTACTAGTTCATTACTATATAAAAAATTCTGATAATAATAAACTAACAGTAAAAAATATAACTACTTCGACATAACACCTAAATTACTGAAACAATATGATTTTGAAAAGTATAAATTGAATATCGCGCTAAACAGTTAACATAAATAATAAAAAATCCATATTCCATACATTATTAGTATTTCGATTTTCGTGAACTGATTTACTATTTAAGTCAATTGTCAACTATAAAATATTAAATTAATATCTACATACTAGATGGCGCTGTAAGGTTATTACGAAAATTTAAGATATATATAAATATTGACATTCAATATAGTTCTTAATCAGTTATAGTTATTCTTAAAATATAATTTTTGCAAAAAAATCAAGTAAGATGAGTAAATTTAAAATTATGATGTAAAGAAAGAAAATGTTTTAAGCGCCCTCTGTTAACATTTACCAAATAATCAATGTCAAATCCAATAATCATTTGCTAGCTTCAGTAGAAACACGACAGATGGTACAACTTTAAGTGATAGATTTAGTAAAAAACTTTAGTAAAAAAATGGAAATTGATTGATTATTAGATACAACTCATTATTAATGGCGATTATAACCGATTATTATTTTTAATTTTTTATATTTTTATTTCTGCACGTCGTATATTATATCAATATATGAAGAACAAGTATAGTTTAACAATTATGATAAACATAAAAGTTACAAAAAGTAAAAATATTAAAACTATTACACTTCCAATTTTAGATTTTACTAAGATTTTTTTGATTAAAATAGCGCATTAGGTACGAGATAGGCACGTAACAATGTTTTTTTTAATTGATCAGCCCAGTAGGGCTCATCAAGCTCTGGATAAGTAGTGTTTATTCTTAATGAATAAAAAAACACTTCAATATATCTAATGTTTTACGTAGAGTTTTTTTAAATAAGTTGAATTGCATTCACTGACATAAATACTTGAAAATTACGACCTAACATCAAGTAATTTACTTAAAAAAAAACAAAACGTGTGTGAACTTATGTAAACGCATTAGAAGTTATACCTACTTCTAATTGGCGTAACAAGATAAAAATCTTTTCAAAAATTTTATTCTATGTTTGTACAAAAAACGACACTAACAATACTCAATAGAAAAAACTAAAATGTGGACTATAGCTAACTTCAGGGTGTCGGTTTTATGTGACGGTGTGCGCGCGCATCGTAAAAATTTACTCTCATTACTTTTCCCTAACGCGCCAAAAGAAATATAGTAAAATAAAATAATGGTGTTCAATCTCTCACCTTAGTGATTAAAGTACCGAGTTTGTTAACGAGTTCATAGAATTGCATTACCACTATTTTACAGTCTGTGCGGAAAAAGAACCATCAAGGCGGATACGCGAACAAAATTATTCTTATTATTTCCTAATAAATGTTAAGACTTCTCTTATTACCACTAGTATTGGTGTCTGGAAGCTGAATCTTCAGTCATGAATAAATAATAATATATTATTTACCTCTTCACAATATTGCATGCATGCTGTAGGTAATGACCATCGCTATGAGAGGCTGGTACCGATAAACTTAGAAGTTCTGTGGTAACAGGTCATCAGACTTTCATAGCGGACAGATAATATAGGTACAAAGACATGACTAAACTAAAGTAAAAATAAACAAAATAAAACTAAAGCATGAGTGGTGGTGGGTGTGTGAATATGTGTAAGGGTGTGAAATAAACGTGTGTGAAAGAATTTAATTTAAAGCCTACCTCAAGTATGGATAACATTCTGTTGCATCGTAATCAATGCTTTTCAGAAATTTGGTCTCATGAGGTCAATTATTTTAATAACGCCCTTCAGAAAGGTCATGATTTCGAAATACCATTGCAATGATACCTTTATGAATTATTTCTAGTCTTCTAAATGTCATTTATAATAAAACGAACCAATGGAATTGATCCCACACAGCCAACCATATCAATCGCACCCATCAAGATTCTGGCAACGACAAGGGTGACTTAACTTTAAGATCGGATTTACTCCAGCTCCAGATGTGATACTCCAAACACTTTAAAATCGTAATATTAACTGTTATATTGTAATTGAGGTTACTATTCAAACCGGTTATGTCCCTTTGATAGTTTCATCGAGATGTTAATACAAATATTATATAAACAAATTTATGTGAGAATCTGAGATGACCGTTGCCCTTTTCCGACATTCTTAAAGTGACCCTGTGTTGATGTGGTGGTTTTAAAGTGTAGAAGTTGTCTAATTTGCGTTACGTGTTTGAAAATGTATGTGATACAAGCAATAACTGTGCAAAAATTTAGATTCAAGAACAAAGGATTTAATTACTTAAGTAAGTTAATTAATTTATATATTTATTAGTAATCACCCCGTCTTACCTCCCTCGGACAAGCAAAAAGCTGGGGCAGCCGCAAAGCAGGCGGAAAATTATAAACGGCTCAAAAAGTCTTTCCTCCAACTTAGATTTTGTTCCCTTTGGAGTAGAGACTCTTGGGCCGTGGGGTTCAAGTGCCCAGGCGCTAATTAAAGATTTAAGTTGGCGCATGGTGGATAGTACCGGTGACCCCAGAGCCGGTGCTTTCCTTGCTCAACGAATAGGTAACGCAATACAGCGAGTAAATGCTGCCAGCGTTAAAGGTACACTGACACAGGGACCAAACTTTTTAATGTTTCTTTTTATTATTGCTACGTAGGTTAAAAAAATTGAAAATACTGTATATTTGACTGCTATGATTACTAATAAACAATTTTGAATTGATTAGTCATCAAAACACAAAGACAATATATATAGCCAAAACAGATTACATAGATAAACAATATATATGAAATATAAAACATATGTAGGTACATACCTATATACAAAAAGAAGAAAAAAATCTGAAATTTAACATTAAACGAACGCAAAATAATACTT